TTAATTTGTACGGTGCGTAAAGTAACATTAGTGCAACTTGGAATATTAATAGGCAGGGCCAAGTTATCATAAGTGAAAGACTCGCAGAAGTAGCGGTTCATGGCCACGTATATTTCAGCTAGGTTATTGTTGTGCATAGTCTGGAAGAATGAGTGAGTTAATCGTACACGAGTCAAGGTAGCTTCTGCGCCTCATCCGAAGCTTGAAGGCCTTGGTATGGTTACTAGAGTTTAGGGCAGTATGTGCTTCCGACAGCTATGCTGTAGCTAGTGAATTTCCACCCCAACAGCACTACATATATGCGGATAAGGAGGAACAATTCTTGTGTGGTGTTGTACTTTGCGTGTAGCTTTTTAAGCTTAACGAAGCTTTGGCGAAGGAAGCTGCATCCTGCGGCGGTTTCATTGCTTTTCGCTTTATTATAGTTGCAAGTATATTAAGCAGTACGTAAGCTTTCTATATAGTACAACTTGCAATTCAGTGAATCGGCAACAGTGTTTCAGGACGTGGTGGGTTTTCGCCTGGCAAGCGACCTCCCATAAAAACCTGCAAATATCCGTTTCACAACACTGCAACGTGGTGAATGTGACTCGCCGCCGATTAGAGTCACAGCCCATAACTTCAGATTGGCAGGCCAACTAGCGTCACCATTTTAGGTACGTTCGTTACACCGGAACTTTTACGTTTGCATACACTGTCGTCGCTACTTTCTACGAGTTCACGCAAATGCTGTCGTCTCTTTACTTGCTACGATATCACCGTTGATCTTTGCGGTACGTATGCACGAACAGTATGTTGTCATACCTCTCTCAATCGTGCTCTTCTATTATCCTCTAATGGATCTTTCGGGATGCTTAAACTATTATTAGCTGAGGTATAACTACCATATATGGCAGACCGATTATGCCTTAACAAACGCGTCCCGGTCTCACGACAACGCAAATATGGTTTCAAATTTTCACTATTGTACAATTCCAAGCATGAAGGTATGAACACTTTTCTGCTGTCGCTGTTACACTTGCCATAAAATGTCTGTACAGTAGCACCTATTTGATCATGCTTCCATGGACTTGCCGCGCATGGTCAAAAATAACTATTTTTATTTATTTATTTAGAATAGACAGTTTCCGTATCTGTATTCAGAAGGAAGACGTCCCATCTGTTGGATCTAGGAAGTAGAGCAAAGTTTCTCCAATCGACAGTTAGAGGTGCCGAACTGGACACGGTGGTAGAGCTATCGGGAGACGATGAATGGTTGTTTGAAAAGTGAGCTTTATTATTTTATTATCGCATCCAGGGAGGTTGGCAAGCTCACTAGCCGATGCATCCACAACTCAGTTTGTAAAAGGTAAACCTAGTGTGTTCTAGTACCTAATGTGTACATGCACGTGTTGTGTCCACCCAAATTCATATATGGTGTTCACGAAGGAATGGTATTCTGGCGGCCCAGCTTGAGTTTGCCAGGTTACTTGTGGCAGGTTAATATCACCACCGGTTATCTTATAGTGGGTAGGCAATAGGGATACTTCTGTAAAGAGTTCAATTAGTTGGCGTATACTGATGGTGTTTGTGTGTGAAGGGTTATACAGGCAGCTAAGTAAGGGGTCGTGCTGTCCCCTACCAGTATGAATCCAGACCGAGTAATCAAGATGACCGACTAAAAGTGCTTGAAATAATGGCTCCCTGAAAGCGGCATGCACGTAGATGAGGCATCCACCGCCATGGTGGTTGACGCATCCACTGATAAAGGAAATCTAGCCCGGGTTTCGCATTTGTGCATGGGGAATGTTAGTAGCGTTCCACGTTTCTGTGATGAGCAGCACCTGGGGACCGGATAGGACAATGACGGTGATGATATGTTGCACCTAATGTTTGACGGACCTTGTGTTAATGAGTATAGTAAGCACCTATTTTCAAGACTACTTCTCTGATGCATTATAAGAAACCGAAGTAATCTGAGTGGCTTGCGTAGCTATCGTTGCTGTCTTCTCAGAGGGAGTGCTAGCGGTTGTAAGGTTGCAATCCAACAAAATATTAGTACGCCCTACTATAGTGCAGTTCGGATTGTCGATCAGCACGATGTAGTGAGTCCGCTTGGTTGCCGTGCTGAAACGACGCAGAGGAGACAGGTTCATAGTGGTTAGAAAAGTATTGATGAAGACTAAGTTATTGGTGGAAATAGTTTGCAAACGTTGGAAGAACGAAGAACTATGGCGGTTATACGGTCCCGAGGTGCATAGTTCTACCAAATGTGGCATGCTTACTATGGTATCTGTACCACATTCGAAGACTCGGAGGTTGGAGTGGGCATGTTTACATGCCATGAAGGCTCTCCATGGGAGATCGTCGGTTGGAGGCGTAAAAGCTAGCTTCATAGAGGGTGGCAAGTTGTGTCTCAGAAGAAGCAAAAGCCTTCACTGCCATTAATCGGGGCCGTTGTTTTGCGCAGGAGGGAAACTGTGGAGCCGGTTCTTCTGGGGCGGCAGAGACTGGTGATGTATACCATTTATGGAAGTGTTTATGATGAGCCAGTTTTTGCATTGTTGGTGGGTTTGTAGGCCATGGTTCAGGGACCTCTGTGGGATGTTTAAAAGCCTGTACAGGTGATAGCGAGCAGTCTCTTCCTGCAGTCACATGAGTTGCAGAGATCATTGGCCCGTCATATTTAATAAACAAGGAACGGGACTGGGTGTTGACATGCTAGACATTTCGTTATTCATTGGAGTGCTTGTAGCACGTTTGTCCTAACATTGATCATGAGGTCTAATCTGTCTCTCCACAGTTTGTGTCAGCTAACACTTTAGTCTGCAAACAAGCATGTGCCTTGGTTGTATTTAAACTGCCATCGGACACGGATGACCCCATGCATGTATATATGTATACCGATTGACTTCGTCGAAAATACTGACAGTGCATTTCTAGGGCCAACCTAGTTCAGGGAAAAAGGTACTCGGGAAAACCGAATATAACACTACAAGAACATGTAGAAGGTGGGTTTGTGACAAACTCATATTGATTACTGCGTTGCGAAGCCAGGGCAAATTTCATTCGATCTGGATTCCAGGAACTACTATAAGGGGCGGTTACTCAGTTCAACATGAAGGCGCTATTAGACGGGAAATGGAAGCATCATGAGTGTGCACCCATTCCATTTACTGATCCTGACCAACAAGGCGGCATTTGTGGTACGTTTGTCTGCGTGATACATAATTTTTCATTTCAAAGTATATGTTGTTTAAGCTCGCCGGTGTGGCTGCACTTGATGTGAAGGTTGACGAGGCGCCCACTTATCTATTACCAATTTCCTCGTCCATACTGGCTCTAGGAGACAGTTGGTCGTTGCTGGTGGGGACGGGTTTCACTGTCCTAAATACTGTGTTAGGCTCAATTGGTGGTTTCAGCCTGTATGGAATGGGCTACGGTCCAGCCAACGCTGTGTGTATGTCTGGCGTGCAGGATTTCACAAGTAGGCCGGAATGCTCCTGATCTGCTTGTTGAAGGAGTGTAGGCCGTCTCCGTTGATTAAGCGTGGTTCCCCTTCACATGCCTCCCGGCCGTAGCCTTTGGGTTTACACTGGATATTGGGCGAGTGGTTGGAACTGTATATGGTGCAGCTCAAGCCACCCATGGATCTCTGTAGGCGCAGGCGTCCTGTGTCTGTCCCCATGAGGGTCACAGTGACAGGCATATCCGTAAACGGAAGCCACCGAATCAGTTCAGTATGGAGGAGTCGGTCATAACCAACACCAATAGATTTAACTAAGATTTCCCTTCGTTCGTTGCTTGGTTCTTTGTGCTTGATAAGCGAATTACCTTCTGCAACCATGCGTTGAAGGAACAAAATCCGCGTTCCGACCGGTTAAGCAAATATATTCTCTTGTAGCTTACAAGGTGCTCTATTCTGTAAGGTGCTACGGTGGCAAAATGCCAGAGCATATATCGTTGATCGTTAAGGGTGTCAGCTGCAATGTCAGAATTTCGTATGCATATAATCGACTCAAATATACAAACTTCGATTCCAACTATTTTATTTCTCGGTGCATTTGTATTATCAATATATTATTGAAGTTACTTGTTACCTACTGGCTTTAACGGAACTGACACTGCAGGGGTTAAAACGCAGAATATATGCTCAGCAGCTGTTTTGCTCGGATGTGGTGTGTTTGTTGGTGTCGTTTATCAAAAGCTCGAACGTTTATAAATATTCGATGTCCAACGTTGAGCAGAAAATATCTTCGCAGTGTTAGTACAATATTCGAGTGCCTGCTAAACACAAATTTACCGTGGTCCAAATTCTGTTCTCTTCATATATTTATCTGATTCTATACAAGCCAAACAGCTATCCATTCACTAGTAAAGACTTGCGGTGCGTTTACATATAAGGTACAACTTTGCCAATCAGCTTCTGTCTTAAAACCTTGTGAGTATCGTATGATTATTAAAACTAAAATAGTTAAAATGGTTCCCCATAGAGCTTCTGCTTTGTGGAGTTCATCTCACTTCCCCTGGGTACATTTTCCTCGGAGTACTCGTGCAATAGTAACAAGAGTTCATCAATCCCCTCGCCGAACAGTATACTCAAGGTGTCAAAGGAAAACGATTTTAACTAGGAGGACAACACGTTTGTAAGATATTCCACAATCCACGCAAATGCTGAATGTCTAGAACTTTCTGCCGGGGGAATAATATGAATAATATGAACGCTTAAAGCGGAAGTTAGATGCGGGTGTTGGGAAACTTATCCTTCCGCTACAACTGTGGAAAGCACCTAAGAGTCGTCTTAGCCCAACGATAAGCTTCAGTTTTACAATTCATTGGAAACGACAAAACAGACAGGGGTTCTTAGCTCTTTGGAACCTAACAGAAAGAGGCCAATTTTACGTCGTAACATAGATGAGCACAATCACTTGCAGCAGAACACCATTTCAAAACCCAAGAAGAGCTTTTTTCATAATATTTTTTGCAAGAGACTGAGGTCACACCAAACAACACCCGCAAGTATTAAACTTCAAGGTCATAGTCATGTAGCGTTCTAAAACAGCTGACTTGTTCTGTAAGATGAACTTTGTTAGGCGTCGCCCCGGAAATAACTCTATACGGGAACAAACTAACGAACAAACTCTTGAATGCTCCCACTTGAGCAAACTTTACGGCCAATGCAGACAAATTCAAGATTCATCAGAACAGGAACAGATGTTTTATGAGCTATTACCCATCTTCCATGGAGTAAGGTTCTTTTCGGAATTATTCCTTAGGTTTTGTCAAACTGCAAACCGTTCGAGTTAATGGAAAAGTTCCCAGATGTTCATTCATTTTGTTCTCGCGCGACGCAGATGCTTGTGAAGGAAATCAATCTTCGTGCTGCCAATCACACTTCTGGTAACCCTCACTTTAATATGCAATATTTTTTAAGAGGAGGGAAGTTACCGTGTCTTTCAGTACCTGGAGCCCTCGCTGCCTACTCACTGTTTAATATCTCTAGAGGAAGAACCAGTCCCTTCTCCTTTGAACGTCGAAAACCGTGGATGGAATTTGCTCTCGTGTTTGAACCTACTTAGTTCTGGTCATGTGAACCTCATAGAGTGTATTGTTGCTGCATATCTTCCGTCGACTTTGGTCAAGTGCCTGTACATATTTTTGGACCTACCTGGTGATACTCAGTCTAATCCTCCTATTTTCCACCATACATTCAAACAGGTAAGGCATTTTTTCAGATCCCCATATGTGCACACGTTGCGATAACGTTGCTAGATACCGATTCATGTCTCTTTCACTCCCATTTTATTTGCCATTACTAGATTTTGGTCATCTTATTTTGCTTTTCGTGCTATTTAAGATAGTCGGATTTCCTTTTTTGCGGCTCGCACATCTCTAACGAGGCATCCTTCATTACTGCATACGAATAGCTTTCCTAATATCTTGCAGCTTTTGCTACTGTAAGTATAGGCTGTGTTAGATAACTTACTACTAGTTCCCCAGCGTCCGATCTGCGCATCAATGTAAATCCATCACTGCATTTAATCGCCGTAGCTTAAAGTATCGCAAGCCTGTCTTTTAATCCGTGGGCGCGAGTTCGAGTCCGGGTACCCATTTGTCTTTAGAGCGTCACAGATTCTCTGCAACCACTCGTTGGTGGTTTCCGGTGTGCACATTCCGTCTGCGCGAGTGGCAAGCGTGCGGAATAACATCCGTTTGTAATGTATTGATACCGCACTATAGAAGTTGGTGTATTGCCCGGTTCAAGTGATATTTTTCTTACAGCTTTCTATTGCATATTCCATTGGTGTTTTTGATAATATCAACGTCCAGAAACGGTAGCCGGTTTTCGGACTCATGCTGACAGGTGAATTGCATATTCCGATTCGTGTCATTGAAAGCTTTCAACAGCTCCACAGCTTTGTCTTTCGATTTGCAGAGTATAAAGGTATTGTCCACTCAACGTGTATACATCTCGACTCCGGGGATTTGTGGTCTTAGTGAGCTATGTCCCGGTTTCCCATAAACACCTCTGCCATAAGGGGTCCCAATGGTGATCCCATCACAACTCCACCAATCTGACTATATATATCCCCGTTAAATATGAAATGCCCGTTTAAGGCACATCTGAGTAACTCTTCTCTCAGATTTTTCATGAAACGACCCATGAGATCATTCGACATAAGTAGGCTCAATACGTTCGACCACCGGTGCCTTCGCAGTTTGGTTCATATCTGGTGCGCCTTGTTTATGGCGCAGGAAGAAGAAGCGAACTGCTCAGCTCAGTTATTTCACGCACCACGCTCCGATGGCTGGCACAATTGTTGCGCATGCCAGCCCACTGACTTCCGTGACTTGCGTTTGCGCGTCGGGGGTGCGGATAGAAGAAGAGGAGAGGTGGCCAAGCGATGACTTGATCATGAGGAATCTAGACCCTTACTTCCAAGTTGACCTCGGTCGGAGGCTCTCGACTCCCTGGTTGGGGACCGAAAGATGATGAACACATCTGGCTGGATGCTCTTGCTGACGTGACTAGGCGCCAACCACAGTGGCATTTATATTGAGTTTCTTCGTCCCTCCCGCTTAGCCTTCCCCTGCAACTGCCATCTCATTTATTAGGCATAATGTAACCTTTTTTGCGGCATGATAGCTGGCTGTTAGCTCACTACAACGATATTCACCCGTTACTGGTGAGTCAGCCGGCATGCCACTGTTTCGTGCTTTTTTTCTTTCGTATTGCGGCATAATACCTGAGATGTTTTCCACTTGCAGCTAACGTGTATAATGAATGAATGAATGAAGACTTTCCGGGAGATGTGTAGGTATACTCAGTTGTACTAGTTCGCAAGCATATTCCAGTTTCCAATAACGGAATATTCGTAAACAATGACTGGTGTAGACATCCATCTGTTGTCAATCTTCCCACTGAATTCGAAAGTGTCTTTCACGCAGTAAATGTGCACGGTTTTACGCAGCGGTTCCAACTTCTTAACCACCCATTGCGCTATCAAATATTGCAGAGAACTAACCGTGCCCTATGTGGGGCGCATTGGAGCATCTTTGTGACTTTTAGGAAGATTGTATAACCGCGGTAAGCGTAAAAGACGCTTTCAAGTTCATTGAGAAGACAAAGGAAGTGAACCTTAGCAAAAGATGAATGTCATTACTTGACATCCTTTCTATGGTATGGCAAACGATCGAAGTCAATCAAGTCGGCCGTAGTTCCCAGGATGTTGTTAGTTCCCTCTTTTATAGATAGGCCTCATCATACCTACTTTTCAGTCAAGCATAATGCGCCCATCCTCAAGTGAGTGCCGAAACAATTGGCAGATTGTCTCCGCGGTATACTCAGCCACTGTTTAGAGGAAAAACCGGTGCAAATCATCAAGGTCTAACGAGGATTTCGGATCCAATTTGCGAAGTCCCATTACCATGTTCTTAATTTTTTGGGTGTGCACTCCGCGCCTCACCACATTAAGGATGCCACCTCGTATGGTGTTGAAACGTTTGCAACAAAGCAGCCAAGCTCTGAGAATAAATGAACAATTAAGTCATCAACTCGAGCTACCAGTATTCCGAAATATTTACTATCTCTTCGTTATCCTACCAGTCATCATCATTTTATCTGATATCCAATTTTCCTGATTCACCTGTGATCAACGTTCTATAAAGTATCCACTTACCCGATCATCCCGATAGAGGCGTGTCTCACATCATCGAGAGTAAAAGTTTATTTATTCATTTACACTGCTGAATGTTGCAAAGCTCTCACCTTTTCGTCATAAAATATAGCTTCATCCTTTCATAAATACAAAGCAGGTATGCTGCAACCCACCCAACTACTTCTTTTCAGGTACGAGAAGAGTTTTTTCGTGCCATCCCAAGATTACTCCGCCAAGTGACGCTCATATTGCTCCCGCTTTCGCGCCTTTTATATGCACAGATTCTTGATCATTTCGTAATCGCTACTGTTATATGGAAACCGCAAGAACTTGAATCTTTCTCAGCTTTTTTGTCTTTTATGCATCAGGGATCTCAGTTCCCTATCAATCCAATAAGTGCCTGTGTAGAAAGGTCTGCTGGCAAAAGTTGACAGAACTTTATCGATAAGAGACATCAATTCCTGTGCTGGATTTTCCCAATAGTATCGAGATCCAAACTATGGGGAGTGTACCAGTCCAATCTGTTTACGGCCATTTGTAAGCGGTGTGGGTCAGCGCATCAGAAGTTTCGGGAACATACGCGCCGGTGGTGAATGATTAGTCATCGTGTCCATAGAAAGGAAAGCACACAATGAGCTCTTCAACACATTGTTTGATAGCGCAGTCATTCAGCCTAGCCCCCTTTGACCATAATGCTCCCGGTCACTGATTTATGCTTCCTTTATTCTCTGAGTACTTTAATTGTGAATGTAACCTTGTCCCACTGTTGTCCAACCACCAGATCCATCGATAAAGTGCGGGAAAGCAGTTCAGCAGTCTGCTTGAATAGGAGCACATCCGGATCCACGCTACGGACATGGAATTCGACTTCATTGTCTTCTGCACTGTTGTTCACTTATCGGCCATCCCATCCATTGACATCGTGAATGTCCACACAATAGCCCCCGGTTACTTAGATGTCTAAACTTTCATCTACGGTTTATTCTCCTGTGGTCTCTGCGGTTAGCTGTTTATGCGCGTACTCGTGCTACTTGGTGTTTTCTCTGGACCTAGTCGAAAGGGAACAGATGAACCTTGTCTCCTTGTCCCACACCTCTCATGTCGCAGTGAACTCACTAGTGGTACATCACAATTCTCATCTGATCACCATGTATGTCTCTTCCATCACTTGGCATCCTGTGACGATCAGCTGTGGCAATAGTCAATCCCCGATCCTTTTTTCGATTTTGATTGGAAATTGCTCTCACGTCTGCACTCGATGTTACCACCAATTTACGGTCGAAGAGCCTTAAAGTGAAATTCCTCCACCTCCCTTTCCTCCCATCATACAATCGATTACCGGAGCAACACCTTTGCCTGTTATCATACTCTTAGTCATTTAATTTTCACCTGGTTAATCTCTATTCTTATTACTGAGTTTTTAGATTGTTCTTCAACGCCGATGTCTGTTTTTAGAGGCAGCTGGATCGCTCAGCTCTATTTGTTCGCTATTGTAGAACGTCTTTCTTTGTCTCACCCATCACTCCCTTAGTGGATCGGACCTTCCGCGAAATACTTATCTGGATGCTTAACCATTACTTTCGAATATTTGTTTCTCGACTTCCCTTTCCATTTCTATAGATACTACAGCGATTAAGCCTATATCCTTCCTCTGCTGAGGAGTTGGCTCGTAAAGACGCTTTATGTCTCCTATTTCGTGCAACATGTGAAAGGTGTCGCCCTCCCAATGCGATTTGGCGTTCGACTGCAGCCTGTATTTTGTCAACAGTAGCTCAGAATGGGTTGACGCTTTCCGTTGTGAAATACATCCATGGTGAGTCAAATGGTTAGGTATACTTCCTAACAGGTTTAACTTTATGAAACTAGTTCCCGATTAGTTTTGTCATGCAACCTTATCTGTCTAGTGTCCAGAGAATGAATGCTTCGTATTTAGAAGCTTTTCATCTTAATAACATCTTTTCTATCCTAGATTATAGCTACTCTTTTGACAACGAGTATCCTAAACTTTTCATGATCTCTACGGTTTTGCTATAGTTTATCTTGTTTTTCCAATTTTTGTCTTTGGTAAAAGCCCCGGTAAAAGCGTAAATTTACTTTTCTTAGCTTTTGGTTTAGGTTTTTACACCGTTCGGTTGCTCGCATCTCACTCGTTCTGCAACTCAGCAGGACTCTTTTGAGCAAATTCACAGGCTATCATGCACAGTTGGTCGGTGGCTATAGGTCACAGGTTCTTTTTCAGGTTCGGAATTTTCCAGCGACCGATTGCCATTTATCGTTTACTCTATCTGGCATGGAACATGTAGACGACCGGTTTCTTTCGTCAGCGAGAAGTGTTTATGATGCTCAACTGCTTTAATCACCTTGCTTCGCATCATCAGTTTTATAGACAATTAGACACAGATCCTCCGAAACCTCTGAGAAATGTAGTGGACGAAATATGTTACCGGGGTCGAATAAGCGGCTTTCTCGGAAAACATCCGTTAGCTTCTCCTGCTGCCTTGATGCAATAATGACAAATCTGGCTGTAAGTGAAGTTTTACATTCGATGAAAGCTGAACCAATTAGAGGTTTCCAGTATCCCCATACAGGGCATGTGTACATATCATGGTACTAGCAGTCATGCTCCATGGTTATACATACTGTTGACGGCATTTATTTTTGACTTGACTGTGTGGGTTGCGCGACATTATCCACACCCCATATCTGGTCAGATTTCCCCCATACTCCTTCAGTAACTATATGGTTGGCGGCATCCGGTTCCGGATTTGCATGTCACTGCGGCCTCCATAGCACAGCCAGAGGATGCTTGCGCCTACAGAGGGACCATAGGTGGCTTGCGCTGCTGCACCCACAGCTTCATCCACACACCCTATACCTAGTGTAAATCCAAAGGAATAAGACCGGAAGGCATGTTTCATAGATGTTTCATACATGAAACCGGCCCACACTCTTTCAACAAACAGAGTAGAAGCGTTTATGCCTAATTAGGGAATCATGCATACCAGGCGTATACAAGGTGGTGGCTGAACCGTATCCCGTTCCACACTGGATGCATGGAACCACACATTGAGCCTAGCACGGCCACGAGAACCGTGCACCCGTCCCCAGCAACGACCATCTGTCTCCTGGAGGCGGTATAATCGAGGCGCACCGTAATAGACAGATGGGCACTTTGTCAACATGCACATCAATCGCAGCCACGCCGAGGATGTCAAGCAACGGCCGATCACGTGAAATGACAATATCAAATAAAATTTATCGCATCAAGCATACGGATATGCCGACCTAACTAAATTACATACGAAATAAATAGGTTATCAGCAACTTCGAGATAAATTCAAAATGTCAGAAAAAAATATCAAAATGCAACAAGCTCGAAAAAATTAACAAAGTTAACCACCTTTCTATTAAGCGACTTGTGCAGGTAAACAGGAGATTATTCAAGTATACATAACATTTGGTGACAAAACAAGCATTAAGACAATATAGCAAGCCAAGCACTTGAAATAAAGCAATGCAGCACGCAAGCACACGGTTGATAAATCGAATGGATGCGCATGCAGCGTACCTACCAACACTGCGCCAGCTCTGCTTACCTTCCCAGCAAGACCCGTGTTCGTTTAGATGCTGGTCCCGAGTTGCGTCGATCGTGGATCACTAGACCTGCCTGACTCAGGCGCTCGCGCCCGCATGTGCTACAGCACCATGCGCTCGACGTCGATGGAGTACGCTCCATTGGTGACTGTCGCTTCCGCACCTAACACTTCTCTGCATGTACGAGGGCTTTCTCTCGCACCTCCGTTTCAACCTTCGTAATCAGATCGCGCCGTGCACCCTTTGAGGAGAGCACGTTTAAATGTATCTACGAAACCTTCGACCTGCCCATTCGATGGCAAATGGTACGGGGGCGAAAACATGTGCGGATTCCGTTTTGCATGCGCAATTCTTCATCATCATCATCATCATCATCAACAGCAGGACATCAGCCATTTGAACTGATGCTTCGCTGCCATACAACCATGAGGACCTATGAAATAAAGAATGAGAAGGGGGAGAGAAGGGGGGCTTACCTGAAGACCTTAATGCCCTAAGCAAACATTCAGGGTCAAGGCGCCTACACCTTGTGTAGATAACATACCGTCACAAACAGCTGGCTATCATGCAAAGATAAGGCGGCATCGGCGAGACAGCTTCCTTGCGGCTTTCACTGCCCCGCGTCATAATCAGCCATTACCCCGCAGGTAACTCAGCACCAAACAGACAAGCAATCCGATTAGAAGACAGCAGCAGACGCGCCACTGGTGTCTACTGCAAACCATGTCCTGCAAAGTCTCGAGTCAAGCACTAGGTGAGTCACGTAGACTCCAGCCTGGAAGGCTAGACGGACCAACGTCACCCAGTTTGGTTGACAGTGACTTCATTTCCCGCTGCCAAGTCAACTTCTGTCCACCTCGAGCCTTGTGCTATCCTACTTCGGCTAGACTGAACAAGGCCCTCCTAGGTAAGCGGTAACCAGGCATACGTAGCAGGTGCCCGAGCCAACGCAACTTATTCAGTGTTATCTGTTGTTTTAGGGTAGTAGCATGATTATCACTACCTAGTACTCGCCTACGCGCATCATCGTTGGGGATACGTTGGTGCCATCCGACACCAGCAATGCTTCGCAAACAACGATGATCAAAGACTTGAAGGCGCCTCAGATCTTCAGACCTAAAGGGCCAAGTTTCACTACCATAGAGCAGAACGGCCCTCACTGTGGCCTTGTATACCCGACCTTTCAGACGGAGGGAAACTCCCTTCTGTCACCAAAGATGCCGCAGGTTCAAGAAGGCAGCTCTGGCTTTTGCAATGCGTGAGCTGACGTCAGTTTCTATGCGCCCATCATTGCTGATGTAGCTGCCAAGATAAGTGAAATGATCAACCATCTCGAGTTCCTCGTTAGCAAACGTCAAGAGGTCATCAAGTGGCTGGTGGTCCTGCAGCAACACTTTGCACTTTAAAGGTGCGAAATGCATACCAAATAATGGGACCACTCTGGACAGGCTATTCAGGGTTGATTTTGCCGCCGCAAAATCGTCAAATAGCAAGACGATATCGTCCGCATAATATAGATCAAATAACCTTTCACCAGGCAGCACTTCAACGCTTACATCGGTGGATTCCGTCAGGAAACACTCCATGATAGAATCCACGACGAAATTGAACAAAACGGGGAAATCAGACAACCCTGACGAACGCCACTTGTAGTCAAAAAGCTATCCGATAGTACACCGTAGACCCTGACGCGGCCTGTAGTGTTCGAGTATAGAGCACGAAGGATGTTCACATATTTCGTGGGAACACCTTTTCGCGCAAGTAATTCGAACAGAATCGATCGATCGACTGAATCGAACGCACTCTTGAAATCGAGGAACATAGCTATTGTCGGTCTGCGGTATGCGTGGCGCTGCTCTAGTACCTGCCGCAAAGTGAATATATGGTCTATACAACCACGTCCTGGGCGAAAACCTGCCTGTTCTTCCCTAATCCGAGATTCCCGTTCTGCAGTGAGGCGACGAACGATAATCGAGGCGAATAATTTTGTCACAACTATTGTTAGGCTAATACCCCTGTGGTTAGAACAGTCTGTGCGACTGCCCTTCTTGTATACTGCCACTGTAATCGATTCGTTCCAATTAGCTGGCACACTCTTCGTTCCAGATACGTACGAATAGGGAGGTCAGTGCCCTGCAGAGGACCTCACATCCATACTTAAATAGTGCAGGTGGGAGGGAATCCGGGCCAGCGGCCCGTAAACGATTGAGGGCTGTGATCGCGTTTCGGACCTCGGCCTCCGACGGAGGCTCTAAACTAACTGCCCATGGCTCGTCCTGCATCACCTGAGTAGGAAGAGATCCGGGAACAGGGGACCAGCTGAACTGATCTTGAAATTGTTCAGCCCAACGAGCCATACGGCGCTCCTTATTGTGTATTAGCGCACCCGCACTGTCTCTGATTGTCTCACTGACGTTTGTTTCCTGTGAGCAGTGGTGCGGATAAGCTGGAAGAGCTTGCAGTAATTGCCTACTGCCCCTGCCTCCTCCATTTCTTGAGCCCTAATCGTCCACCAAGCTCCCTTGTCAGCACTTAGGTTCCGCTTTAGTTCACACCTAATAGCCCGTCTGGTCACATGGTGTTCAGAACCAGCCAGGAGGTATCTTCTAGCTTCCAACAGGTTCACGGACCTCTCGCATATCCATTGACTGGTGCGGTGACGATTGATAGTGCCACAAGCAGATGCTGCTGCGTCGTGCATGGCGGCCGAGATCCTATTCCACTGAAGTTCAGTGTCATTAGGACAAGACAGCGAGAGTTCGGCACGCAGTGCTTCTTGATAGGCTTGTCTGACCGAGGGCTGGGACAATTTCTCCCTTGCAAATCGGAGGAGACGCTTTGTGCGCCTTCCGGTAAAGTTCATGGAGAAACGACAGCGTACCATGGCATGATCAGAGTCGACACAGGTATTGCAGTACGAGCGGCAATCCAGCATGGAACCGTGCCACCTGTAACTTATGGCTATGGGGTCAATTTGGGTCCATCGCTGGCCAGCTACAGTTGGACGCCAAGTGACACTTCGGCGCCCACTGTGTCTAAAAGCAGCGCTAGTAAGAAACAACTGGTGCTCCGCACACGGTTGCAACAGACGCTCACCGTTGTCAGTCCGTTCGGCGTTAAGCCCATAATTACCACCCAGCTGAGCTTCTGAAGAGCTCATACGTCCTACTTGTGCGTTCATATCCCCTGCAAGTACTATAATATCTGAACTAGTAGCAC